TGATCTAAATAGAGAGTCAGAAGTAACCTGGCTTTGCTTATTAATTAGGGGACGGTTTCCCCTTATGTTCTTTGGAAGGGAACAGTGACCTGTGAGGAGTCAGCAGAGGCTGGAAATGACCTAGAAACAGCATTGTCCTCTGCGGAAAGAAAAAGTTGTCCATCACTTTTGAGTATTTGGTCATATTCCTTACCTCTCTGCAAGTCGTAGATTTGTATAAATGTAAATACCCAACATGCAGCCTGCACCTACATTAGCAAAGCTGGAGTGTCCTGACAGCTTAGTGGCTTCCCTGGTTCTGAATAATGACAGGCCCGGTAGGACCTCTGTACAGCCACTTTCCGCTGTAGGTCAGCTTAGCTAGGCATAAACCATTGTTGGGCAGGTGCTTATCCAAATTATTAAAAAAAAAACCAACCAAAACAGTGGATGGGATTTAAGATGCCTTCCAACCCAGGCCATTCTGTGATTCTGTAACTCCACACCAGATAGAGTCCATCAAGGAAAATTGTTCCAGTGTGTAAATTCATCTGCCAATAAAAAGTTTTCCGTGCATCCCAATATAGTGCTTCTTTGCTCAGTTTGAGCCCACCACTCATCCTTCTATCTCAACGGATACCTCTATATATTACTTAGCAATGCATTGCTTAGCTTTTAGTAACACGTGCTGTATATTGGAAGTTTCTTTTGTTGTATCCTCTCATTCTTCATTCTTTCAGTCCTTCATTTCTTCATTCTTTCATTTCTTCTGTTTCAGTCTTTTCTCATTGTCATTAGTCATAGACTTCTGACCATTCTTCTTCACCCTCTTAGTCTCAGCTGGGATAGAATTACTTTTCTTCCCAGCAGCTGGTACAGTTCTGTGGTTTAGATTTAGGATGAAAATGTAATTGGTAACACACTGATGTTTTAGTTGTTACTGAGCATCAGTCAAGAACTCTTCAGCTTCTCACACTGCCCTGACAGTGAGGAAGTTGGGGGCCACAAGAAGCTGAAAGTGTCCAAAGGGATATTCGATGCCATGCAGTATCATGGTCAGTATATAAACCAGGGGGAAAGCCGGCCAAGGGCCACCTCTGGGGATCTGGCTGAGCATCAGTTGGTGGGTAACGAATAATTGCATTGTGCATCACTTATTTTGTATACTCTTATTATTTTAACATTATTACTATCTTTATTAGCATCATTATTGCATTCGTCTTAATAGATTGCAACCTATTTTTCAAACCATTTCTCTGATTTCTATAAATAATTTTGTATTTTAGTATATTTTATATCTTATCTTGCCCTATAAAGCAGTGGCAGTTTGATAGAGTCTGCAAATGTAAGAAGTAAATACTGTATTCCATCATTCATGATACTGATGAAAATACTGAATGGTACTAAATCTGAGAGAAAAGCTGTCAAACCCCACAACAAGATGTCAGAAACACTGCTGAGGTGAAAGTGTATTGGGTTAATAGTTTCTCTTCTGTACATAGGGTTTGGCTTTTCACTGTGGAAAGAGAGTAGTTTGCTTTGGCATGATTTGTTCTTACAAACTCCATGTAGACTATTACTTAGCCTATCTTATAAGTGTTAACAAGTGGCTTTATTTAGTGATTTTTCACCAAGATCTGAGATTAAGCTGGCTGGTCTGTAGTTTTTAGTTCCTTCTTACATTGTTTCTAGGTGTAAGCTTTATGGACAGCCTCTTCCAGCACCTGGACTGTCCGCTGATAAAAGTGTTTTCAGAGGCGAATGCAAAAGGTCTGATACTGCCTCAGGTTTGTTTAAGTGCCAAGATCTAAGTACTCTGATGCATTTCATCTTGCCCCAGCTACTCGGAACATCCGTCTGTGTTGTCTTCAGTCTCTTTTCTAATAGGAGTTTTTATCACAAGGCTGTAAATTCCAGGTCTTGGGCAGTTAATATTTTTTAATATTAGACCACCATTGCTTTTTTTTTTTTTTTTTTAATAAAACCTAACCCAAAGAGCATGAACCAGAATCCCAGGGCTGTTGCAGAATGACTCTAAGAGCAGAACCATAGAGTTCTGGAGGACTGTGCAAGCAAGGCAGGGGGTGGCCCCCACAGGTGGCCGGAGAACGGACCTGGGAGGAGAATGTGGAGGAAGCTGTGGGGGCTAACCAATACTGTTATGCCAAGAAGGAGTGGCTGAATACCACTCCTATATATGTGTGAACTGCGTCACAAATAAAGTAGAAGTTGCTTATCACCCATATTGGGTTGGCCTGTCTGCTTCTCCTCGCCGCTTACACAGGGCTGCCTCCTGACCACCACTGCATTGTGCACTGCTACCTGCAGCTGGGCTTTGGCAGGATGGATGGAGGTGGCTGCCTCCCGGGATGCCTCTTTGTTGGGGAATGTGGCAGAGGAGCTGTGTCTTATTACCCATTCAAGATCAGATATAACTAGAGCTGGTGTCAGATGTTTTCTGGACAAGTGCAGCAGCAGTTAGACATGTACCTCTGTTGTATTTTCAGCAGGCTCAATGCTGTCTCAGGTGTCTCTTTGATAGACTTTTGAATATGCAAGAGTTTAGACACCTCTCTCCCGAGTACTGTAGTATATAGATCAGGTGAGAGGTCAGTGCTCTTTCTCAACAGCTGAGCATATGATAGACATTTTGGCTTTGTATATAGCCATCATTAAAAACTCCTGATGCCTACATCTATCATACTGAGCACTTTCACCCTCCAGCTGCATACAAACCATCTGCTCTGCACCTAGTTCTTTGCTTACAGTAAATCCCATGCTGAGAATTGCTTGAGAGAGCTGGTTAGTCTGGGCTAAAAGTAAGGCAAGGGCCATATTAAACATCTAGCAATATGGGTGATCAAATTCCAGTGCCTCTGCCTGATGCTCTTTATTCCATCAACGTATGCATCCCCTGCGCAAACTATCAGTCTGAACGTCAGGTGCCTTTTAAGTTTAAGAAGCTGGAGGGTACAGGTGTTGGTGGAGAATCAGGAGCTTGATTTTTTTTCTCTGGGCTATCTAGCCTTGAGAAGACTTTGGGGGGAGTGTGGGTGTGCATTGTAATGTGTGCAAGTAATACAGTGGAGGCAGAGAGAGTGCCTTCAGTGGTGCTGTGACAGAACAAGAGGCAACAGCCACTAGCTCACTGCCATTTAAAAAAAGAAAATACTTCTTTTGGTGCAAGTGCTCAAACACTGAAACAGGTCACCCCAGAAGGTTGTGGAGTCTTCACCCTTGGAGTTATTCAGAACTCAGCTGGACAACATCCTGAGCAACCTGCTGTAGTTGACATTGCTTTGAGGAGGGATTTTGGATTAGATCATTTCAAAACGTCCTTTCTAACCCCGATGACTCAGTGATTCTGAGTTATGGTAAAAACTTGAATGGACTCTTCAAGCAATTGAACAAATATTTGTCATACAAAATAGCCACTGTGCAGTTTTCAAAAGACCTCTTGAGTAGCGATGTTTGAACACGAGCAGCATGAGGAATGTCTCTCCTCTGAGTTCTCTGCAGTGTTGTCTTTGCTCCTGAGGACTCAAGTACTTTAGGTCATGAGGGTGATTTCAGGCTTTGGACAGGATTTCTGAAGAAAGGGATTAAGGAGAAGAATGTGTTTTTATAGGCACAGCCCTACTTTGCAGCAGAACAAAGGTTTATGCACTTCATTCAGATGGATCCCCAAGAGCCCCAGGGCCTCCAGAAGCTCCTGAGACTGCAGGTGAAACACATCACCTGCACTTTTCCTTGTATCTGATTGTACCAGGATGCAGGAAGAGGCCATGGGACCTCAGCTTTGTGACACACTGTTTCGGAGGAACCAGTAGGTCATATTGGTGCTACCTACATCAAGACTGTTCAGGTTACCCCAAGATGGAAAGAGTGGTGGCCATGCTGCTGCCTGCGCTGTGTACGTATTCCAGAGATCAAGAGGAGATGATGAGATGAGATGAGTTTCTGTGTTGATTTATTTATATTTTTCACACTGTTCATTCGAAGTCCCCCAGCTGTTTTATTTCTTCTTGCCTGGGACCTGCCTCACCAAGCCGTTTTTACACGGGAAATTTCCACGTCAGTAGGAGACTCATGAATTGCTGTCACATCACCTAGGAGGACGCAGGAAATCAGCTTGTAGGTGTGCGAGTCAAGCAAGGCTCATTCACCACATGCAAACCCACCCACCATGGGAGTTTTGCCCAAAGAAGAGAAGTACTGTCTGCACTTTAAGCCCATCAAGGCTCGTTCTAGATACCCACAGCAAAGCAAAACTGAAACCCTGGTGGTGTCTGTCCCCTTCAGCCTGAAGCTGTCACTTTCCACCCTGTCAGCAGGAGCATTGGTGGATACCAAGCTCTTCATCCGACTTGTTTTACTACCCAAATAGTTTCTAAAAATGTTTGTGAAAGCGTCTTCTAAAAACAAGATCCCAATCTGAGGTCCTTCTGATAAAGTTGTGGTAAAATAGGTGCAATCTTGAAATCTCAAGAGATGAAAACAAAAAAGGTAAAAGCAGAGCACAAGGGCTCTGCTGTGTCAGAAAACACCCATTTCTCAAGTACATTGTGAGAGGCAGAGGCACCATGGCCTTCACTAGCTGACACAGGGGAAGGTCAGTGCTTTGTTAGAAGACTTTATGACAAAAGGCATAACTGCATCTTTTCCCAGAGAAGCCTGTCGATGCTTGGGAACAGATGGTTATGGTGTTTTGGGTTTAGATTTTTTTTTTTTTAAGATCTTTAAGAAAAAAAGCAAATAAAATTCTTCAGCCCTAGGATGATGAACCAGGTCACCCTTTCAGCAGCCTCCCACCCTGAGATCAGATCAAGTCATCCGTAAACCACATACTAATGTGTTCTCCTAGTCCATTTCAGTACAGCTGCTCTCACAGTTTTGCAGCCTGGGCTGTAAGTATCGTACCACAGCATCAAGGAGCAACGGGGTGGGATCCAAACTGTGTCGTATGGGGTTAACAGGTAATGAATATTTTGTCTAATTTTTCTCTGTTCCTCATCCACCAGCCTCGCCCTCCGGCAGACCTGGGTTTCAGCTTTGATGCAAATAAACAACAAAGGCAGCTGATAGCAGAGCTGGAAAACAAAAACAGGTAAAAAGCAAGCTTTGATCAGCACTGTTTTAGGAACAACAGTTGAGGCGAGAAGAGCCTTCAATCCTTGTGCTTTGTTGGTTTTAACCTTTTGTATTATATTAACCAGATTGTTTTCCTAGATCTTTTGTTGAAAGGTGTAGCTGCCTCATTAACAAATTAGCTCAGTGCGGATGCAGCTGCAATGCCCTTATTCCCCAGGGAGCAGGTTGATCTTCACTGATCTGCTTAAAATCATCTTAACTGAGCATCAGGAGCTGCACTGCAATCTTGAATTGCTATCTGCAAACCCAGCAGACATCTCACAGCAGGGCAAACCATTCAGGTGGCAGCAGGAAGATAAATCAGCTGCAGTGAAGTGGAGCGAGAAGGTTGGAAAGCTGGGGTGGGTAAATTCAGCTTGAGAAGAATAAGTGAGGATTTTTTCCATTCTGGAAGTCTGGAGGAAAAAAAAAGTCTGAAGAAGCTGAGAGGCCTGGAAGAAGGAAGAGATGGGCTTAGGAGATGGTTTCTTTCTTCTGGACGTGACCTGGAACTGTGCAGCCCAGAAACCCAACCGTGTCCTGGGCTGCATCACCAGCAGCATGACCAGCAGGTTGAGTGAGGGGATTCTCCCCCTTACTCCACTCTTGTGAGACCCCCCTCCTTGCAGTCCTGCATCCAGCTCTAGGGCCCCCAACATAAGGAGGATGTGGAGCTGTTGGAGTGACTTCATGGAGCTGAGCACCTCTGCTATGGAGACAGGCTGAGAGAGCTGGGCTTGTTCAGCCTAGAGAAGAGAAGGCTCCACAGAGACCTTAAAGCAGCTTCCAGTGCCTAAAAGGGCAACAAGGAAGCTGGAGAAGGGCTTTTGACAAGGGCGTGTAGGGACAGGACAAGGGGGAATGGCTTTAAACAGAAGGGAGATCGAGATGAGATCTTAGGAAGAAGTTGTTTCCTGTGAGGCTGCTGAGGCCCTGGCACAGGTTGCCCAGAGAATTTGTGGCTGCCCCATCCCTGACTATGTTCAAAGCCAGGTTGGAGGGGGATTTGAGCAACCTGGTCTAGTGAAAGGTGTCCCTACCCATGGGAGGGGGGTTGGAACTGGATGAGCTTTAGGGTCTCTTCCAGCCCAAACCATTCTGTGATTCTTCTTACTCCAGAGGGATTGTTAAGAAGAGGATGCTCTTAACATAATGCTTCATTTGCACTTACCTGCTCCTTCAGCACCTACATTTTGTGGTCATGTTTTTCTGGTGAAGAGGGTGCAGCTCTAAAGAGCATGCAGTTGAGCAGTTATAAATCCCATGTGCTGTTCAGCATAGGCAGCACCTCGGTTACCCACGGAGCCTGTCTGGGTGCCTCTTGATGTGCTCTCTTCCTAGCCTTGCTTGCGTCTCCCTCTGCTCCAGCTGCACCTAGCTGGCATGCATGAGCTTGCTGCCTGCACGGTCCCTTGCCAACGCACCCTCAGCACACCAGGTAAAAACACTTCTTCGGGTTAGTTCGGAGGAGAACCAGTTCCTGGAGAGCACAGGAACAGCTCAATCCTTGCACCATTGCAGCTTCAATACTCTACCGAGAGACCCTGCGGGTATTTGAAATTATTCATCAAGATCACGGATAAGGGAGATCTTAATCAGTGCTGGTATGAAGCCTTGCAAGGAGAGCAGCTCAGCAGTTTTAGAGAGCAGGGTGGGAGAGTTAGAGATTATAATCGTCACTCTCAGAAGGATTTCATTTCCATTTTAATAAGTGAGTCCTTGGCTGTCAGTTCCCTTGCCTCCAGCTACACAGAACACAGCGGCCTTAATTGGGCTGCTGGCTGATCGCCTTCCCTTTGTGGGACCTCGTGAGTTTGTCTCTGTTACTATGAGCTGTTATTTTCCTTATTCCTGCTGACCTGCCAGGGGCCCTTGGAAAGATGAGTGGGAAGCTCACTCGTGCTGGCATGGCTGCAAATGCTTGTGGTGCTGCTTCAAAGTACTTCCTACAGCCTGTGCAATGCAGACTGTGCTGAAAATGGAACTTTTTTCCTCTTAGAACAGTCTCTGGGCCTGTTCTACGTAAAAAGGTTTTGGAGATACGTTGCCAGTGCATGGCACAAGTGATTTCGTATTTCTTATTAAGTAATCTCCTGTGTATTACAGAAATTCATAGGACTGCCTTAACTTACTGTTTTGAATCTCTGCCAGTCATATGTGAACAAATTTGCTGTCCTTAGACTGCAGACTGACAGACAGGGTGCTTGAAGGGCTGTAACAGTGTTTAAGAGTGGTGTGGAGACTGACCTTTATTTTCTTTAATCTTCCCTCTGTCATTTCTACAGAGAGATACTCCAAGAAATTCAGCGTCTCAGGCTGGAACATGAACAAGCCTCTCAACCCACCCCTGAAAAAGCTCAGCAGAATCCAACATTATTGGCTGAACTCAGGCTTCTACGGTAAAAGAAATACCTAAAGCTCATATGCATTTGGTGCCTGGGCCAGTCAGCCTGTGTGTCTGCTCTGTGAACACGATGGCTGTTACGGGGAAAAGCGTATCTTCAGCAGCCTTAGAGTGTTACTTAAAATGCTGAATGCCAAAGACTTACAACGTATTGCAATTTGCCTTTTTTTTTCAAGTGGATTTAGAAGTAAATAAAAATCTCTTTGCCAAGAAAATTGCTTTGCCAGAAGAGGCTGGACCAAATAATCCTTGATCCAACCTGGGATTCTGGGATTCTAGGATTCTAAAAATGTCTCTTCAATTTAATTCTATTTGTATAGTTCAGAAAACTGTTTGTAAAGAAGAAACCAATAGGAAAAAAATAACATAAATTGCATTAACTGCTTGTCATTTATTGTCCAAAGGAATAGAACTGAAGAGAAATGTCAGTTATTTGATTAGACAGTGAAACTCCGAAAGTTCGTACCTACAGATAGTCAGATGTACATCCAAAGTTGGAGAACAATCTTCAAAGCATCTATGATGAGGTTTGCATTTTGAAGTGACAGGGAGGTATTGTCAGGATTATAAAGCGTTTCATAGTTTGGGTAGTCACAGGGGCATTCTCTGGCTATATTTTATTTTGTCTTCTATTACCAGTTAATTCAGAGCACAACTTTCAAAATTGCCATCTGTAATCTGAAGTAGGTTCTAAAATTCAAGCTCTTGGCGGCAGCAGCTCTTTGCAAACTGCCTTGTGTTTCATTCCTTAGGGTAAACTTTTGCTGCGTGCTTTGGATGTGGCATGGCTGTTGTCCTCCCAAGGACATTTAAAGGTTTCCTGTAAAAGTGCAGTGCTCTTGAGATGGAGCTACTGCATTGGCAGGCAGCATCTGCAAGGTGTCATCCGGCCCCATATTGCAAAATCTGAGGCTTTCAGCCTCTTTCATTCCTTTTTTTCATGCAGAATTTGCTGCATTATAGCACATTGTGGTATCTCACTGATATTTTTCATTCTGTTATCTAATGGCTTATAAATTTTCTTGCTTTATGCTTTATATGGCTATGTATATATTTTTTTAACATTAAAAAAAAACACAGAGGATGCAGAAGATGCCCACAAATGTTACGTAAGTGGTGGAGAAAAAAGGGATTGTGGGACAGCTTGGTGTGCTGTTTGACCCAGCAGACAAAGATATAAGAACCAAGAGCTTAAATTGGAAACCAGCCACATTCAGGCCACAAATACAGCACATGCTTTTTAAAGCAAGGGGGTAATCTTAAGAGCAGTGATAGAGTTTTCAGTCCCTAGATATTGTTCCAAAAATACAGGTTATTGGGAACAAACCGGAGATAACCAGGAGGAATGAGATGGCCCGTGTTTTGCTAAAGAAAAAAAAAAAAAGCTGAATGTTGTGGAAAAAGAAAAAAAGGTTGAATTAAGCACGTAAAGCCTGTTAATTCATCATGCTTGTCCAGTCTGGCCTCCTATGTAACACAGACTGGGAAATTTCTCCTTGCTGCGGTCCCGCAGAACCCTTTTAAACTGAGCTACAGCAGCCACGTAAGACAGATGTTCAAGCTTTCATTTTAGAGGTGGAAAGAATACCATGTCCCCTGACACCCCTGATGTGATCATCAGTGAACTTCTGTGCTTCGTCTGTCCTCAGAGGACTGAAAGTGTGTACGTCATTTCTAACCTTCATAAGCCTAGTGCTGTTTTCCAGACCTTGTCTTTCCCTATGCTTTTGTCTACTGAGCTAAAAAGGTCTTTTTCAAAATTCCTCATTTGTGTGTGAGTGTTTAGAGATTTTGATTCTTAACTTCACGTCCATGAATAGCTTGAACTTCTTCAGTATCTCCATAAAGCAGGTTTGCCAAACCTCCAGCTGTCCCTTTAGCTTGCTCTCAAGTTCCCCTAAGTCCTCTGCATCTCTTCTGTGTACCGGCTGGATTACACTGGCTCATGTAGTTTCACTGGTGCTTTAAATTGAACTAGTGTTCGCTTTCTTACCACCAAACATCCATTCATAAATTCAAAATGCACATGAATCGTCTTGACTGTGTAGCATCACAGTGGATGATCACAATTAGCAAGTTATCTGTGATATGAAAGTACTTCACAAGGTCACAGCTACCAAGGAGACTTTCTCCAAGCCTGTGAGCAGCATGTGATGACTTTGCTTTTGATTGTATGTAAGCACATTTCCAGACAATCTCAGGTGCTGTGTAGAATTTAGGATGTGAAACATGAGAAAGGTAATCCATGGAAAATCAACGTGTCCCAGGTTTAAAAATGTGCAAACACAGCCCGAGGATATGAGTCAGCTCTGCCACTCTGCTGCCGAATGTAACCTTGGTGGAAGTGCAGCTGTACCCACTGTCCTTTTAGATCCCTGCCTTGTAATGCAGATGTGCTTGGCTGCCTCTGCTGCAAGGAGGATGCTCATTTATGCAGTAGTTCCAGTGCCCCAGGCAGCTGCCTCAGACTGCATCTCGCCATTTGTGCCTAGATGCTGTCCTATCTTTTCTGGTCTTTTAAGCACAGAATCATAGCATCAGAAATCATAGAATAGTTAGGGTTGGAAAGGACCTTAAGATCATCTAGTTCCAACCCCCCTGCCATGGGCAGGGACACCTCACACTAAACCATGTCACCCAAGGCTCTGTCAAACCTGGCCTTGAACACCGCCAGGGATGGAGCATTCACAACTTCCTTAGGCAACCCATTCCAGTGCCTCGCCACCCTCACAGTAAAGAACTTCTTCCTTATATCCAATCTAAACTTATATCCAATCTAAACTTCCCCTGTTTAAGTTTTAACCCATTACCCCTTGTCCTATCACTACAGTCCCTAATGAACAGTCCCTCCCCAGCATCCTTGTAGGCCCTCTTCAGATACTGGAAGGCTGCTCTGAGGTCTTCTCCAGACTGAACAGCCCCAACTTTCTCAGCCTATCTTCATGCAGGAGGTGCTCCAGTCCCCATCCTCGTGGCCTCCTCTGGACTTGTTCCAACAGTTCCATGTCCTTTTTATGTTGAGGACACCAGAACTGCACACAATACTCCAGGTGAGGTCTCACGAGAGCAGAGTAGAGGGGCAGGATCACGTCCTTCGACCTGCTGGTCACGCTCCTTTTGATGCAGCCCAGGATACGGTTGGGTTTCTGGGCTGTGAGCACACACTGAAGGCAGCTTGTGTTCATTTTCTCATCAACCAACACCTTCAAGTCTTTCTCTGCAGGGCTGCTCTGAATCTCTTCTCACATTTAACCTTTTGTCATTGACAAGCAGTACCTCCTCTTTCTTCAGTGGAGGTCATTGAACAAGAGATTGAATACCATCAACCAAGATCAGACATACATGTTGATGTTGATTCTCCATTAGCTTTTAATATATTGTTTTTTGCATTATTTGTTGTTGTTAACCAGAACGTTATGTTAAATAATGTTCGTGCTAATTTTCAAGGCCGGATTGGACAGGGGTTGGAAGGTGTCCCCTGCTGTGGCAAGGGGGTTGGATCTGAATGAGCCCTAAGGTCCCTTCCAACCCAAACCATTCTATGATTTTATGATTCTATGAAATAACTATAGAATAAAATCTACAGACTTTGAACTGACATAGAGAGAGGAAAAGGATGGTATAGATAGATAAAGCTGTGTCTGTGGTGGGTTTTTAACACATTCTAAGTGACCAGGCACATGTAATCTTCTCTTTATCACCTTATTTTTGTGATATGTTTCAGCATTTGATAACCACATTCTTTAAAATACAAAATGATGTGGAAAGAAATACCCAGGATTGTTGGTACTTCACAGTTTCTGTCCTTTTAAGAACCAGTATAGAAACAAGTTAATTCTGTTACGTAGTCTTAGCAGTTTTGTGGTTGGGGTATACACTTACAGTGTACAAAAAGACAGCAAGACTTTTTCAGTCTGAGTAAATGGCCTGTTTCTTTTCCATATTCGGATGCCCAGTTGGTGTATATGCAACTAGTTGGTTATTAAAATTCTCAGAATGATTTATCCATAATATATCACATGAGAACAAAGATATAACCCAAGACACCTAAAAATACAGTCTAGAATATGTGGTGCCTTTAACTTTGGATTAGGACATTCAGATGTCCACAAAAATAACTGTAGATAAATAAATAAGCCTTTCTAATATTTTTAGTTTTCTTACAATCATCTATCATTACTATGACTGGGATTTGTGGGGACCAGCATTTCTTAAATCATGTAAGACACTGAACTGCTGACATGCTGATGTTCGTCTTTGAATTTCTCTTTATATTAGTCCCTTCTTTGTTTTTAAATGTGAAATAGAACCAAACAGTGATATTGCCTTAAATATCTCGCAGACATGCATCAGTAGGAATACAGTGGTTTTGTGATGTCAAGGAAAGGGAAGGTCACTTATTACCTCCTTTTGTTGTTACCTGGGTTCCGGTACAGCAAATGTGTCAAAGACAGTATGTCATGTTCATGGACAGAAATAGCTCTGCTTAGTCTCCATCCAGACAGGTGATAACTTTTCCTTCCCAAACACCTGCAGCCCTTTCTCCCCCTCTTTTTTGTTAGTCTTTCCTCCCATCATTCATTCTTGCTTGTCTGAAAGCTCCGCAGGGTGCCTGGAGCTGACGTTAAGAGAGCTCTTAAAAGGAAGAGTAAAGTGGGCTCTTTTTCTCAAAATGCAGTGCTTTTGAAAAGGGCTGCCTACTACCAATGTGCTGAGGGCAGGTTCCTGGATTTTAAGTGAACAGCCTGATAGTTACACGTAGGTTTCATGGTCATTGTACTGTGCTTTGCTCCATTTTTTTCAACTGGAAGCAGGGGGGAGTGATGAAAACCAAAGACACGGTTGGATGGGTGAATTTCCTAAAGTGGTTTTGAAATACCCAACGTTTATTTTCTGACTCTTTCTTTCATGTAACTTGAACAGACAGAGAAAGGATGAACTGGAACAGAGAATGTCTGCTCTTCAAGAAAGCAGAAGAGAACTGATGGTGCAGCTTGAAGGGCTGATGAAACTGCTCAAAGTAAGCCACCTCCTATCAGAAATACAGTGCATCCTTCTTTTCCACAGGCCTGGAATTCACTGTTGCTGCTGTGAGATTCCTGCTTTGCTGTTGTATCATCATAAATACTTCATGAGGAGTAGAAGGAATTTGCAAAAAGTCATTTCCATGCTGGCTCTGTGTGTTGGTCCAGATGGTTAATGGGTTTTCAGGTTCATATGCTGCTGCTTTAGTTAAAATATCAAGAACCTGTAAGATTTGGAAGGCTTTAAAGGCGTATTAGATTTCATAATTCACTGCATGCTTTTCTGGGTACCAATCCAGTTCTTTCACCTTTAACTGGAAAATAGACTGGAAGCTGTAGTTGTGGCAATACAGGATGCACCTTCCCAGTGGTGTGGTGTTGTGTTGCACCTGGTAATACCACATAAACCCTGCAATGTCTGTGGAGGTTTTTTGCTTTTAGAGCATGGTGGTATTGTCTCTGATATATAATATATGTTGTTTGGATTTCTGATGAGCGTACATTATTTATAATTTATCAAGTCCTGCTAGAGTTGAGCTCACAGTTGACGACTGTTGTCTGAAATACTATCGTGTTTATTCTTTCCATTCTTTAAATTGCACAAGAGCCTCTATTATGCAAATGGCAAAACATTGTCCTTACTCAAAATGGTTTTGGTCTAAAGCAAGATGCCACAAAGATGCTACAGGAAATGGGAGAGGTGGGCAAGGAATCACAGCAATGGCACTGGCAGGAGCAGCACATGGGTTTATGGATTAGCTGTAGACACATCCTGATAGTTAACATTTAGAGCTTGTCTGCACTTTAAAGTGATAATGAATTCACATCGTCTGTCAATCTAAAGTGCAGTCACTCTTCAGATTAGGCCTGTGTTCTGGAATAGGAATGTGTATAAAAGAGGCTATTATCAAATACTCTTCAGAGGTGGCTGTTTTAGTTCATTTTCCTGTGCAGCTGAGCACATAGTTAGTATTAATATTTGGGAAGTAATTATTTTTTTTGAGTTAGTGCTTCTACATGCTGTATTTGTTTCCTGTTCAGCCTATTAATGTCTGTCTTAAATAATGAAGACAAAATATTGAACACAATCACTTACTAAATTCACCTTGATTTCTTCAGACCCTAAACCTCTGTAAGTTGAAATGTGATACCTCTGCAAATAGGCATCCAAAACTGAATTACAGATTTGGGAAAGCATCTGTTCCATCAGAAACAGTTTGACTCTTTGTGGTTCAGGTGATCATAGTCTAAGCATTTGCCCCTTTAGAACAAAATCTGATTGGATGTCTGTTTTAACACGAGAACAAGCTCTAATGCAAGTTTTCTGTAGGCCCTATGATCCTCAAAGCACTTTCAAGCCTTCCCAAACCAATTCTCCCCATCACGACCTGATGTCCACGCTCTCATCTCATTAGAGTGAGCAGTGTTCTGTCAGCTTTCCTAACTTTCTGCTCTTCCACCTCAAAAGCCTGGAAGGCCGGGTGGACTAGCTTTCTCAGATGCACAGATCTGAACCTGTGCAATGCACAGGCTAAAGAGCAACCTGCAGAGCTTTGCCCATATGCTAGACAAGCCACAGCAGGCAGGTGGGCAGGCAGGCAACACCTTGCCTTATCTGCCTGCTTGGCCATCCTACTCTTATCTCCTGACTGCCCAAACAGTGTGTGTTTCCTCTCACCTGACTGGTTGGACATGTCAAAATGGCCTTGTATGGAGCAGCAGAGGACACTGGTGTCAGTAACACTAATGAGGAGAGCAAGGAGAATACTGCAGGATATTGCAGGGATAAAAATCATGAGTGGTAGGTATTGTAATTGGGGAGACAGAGGAGGGAGGACAGAGGATTGCAGAAGAGGGAAGGGAATCATAACTGACTCACATTTGATAAACCAATATTTTTAGGACCCATTCATTAAGCTGAGTCACACAGTTCAATTATGAGCTTACAGAAACTTTCTTCTAAGCTGTGTTGTACCAAAGGAAGGTTAGTTTAGAAGCTGGCTTTTACTGGGCTTTTCCTTTCCAAATCCTAGTATCTTTTAATTAACTCCCCCAGTTCCCAAAATTGTTTAAACACTGTAAGGACAAATAGGACTGGATATAAGGAAAAACTTCTTCCCATGAAGATGGTGGAGTGGAGATGGAGGCTGTGCTATCTCCATCCTTGGAGTTTTCTCAAGACTGGACAGAGCTCTAAGCAACCTGCTCTGAGATTAAGTTGACCCTGTTCTGAGTCGGAGGCTGAACTAGAGACCTCCTGAAGTCCCTTAAAACCTGAATTATCCACTGAGCCTGTGACTGTTGTAATTATTTGGTTCTACATGTTGCATAATATGACTTTTGCATTTCCTCTGAAGAGCTTTCTATGGAGCCTGGCAGCTTCTTTTTGATTAAAGCCTCTTCCAGAAAGACATCTGCTCTCGAACTGGAGAAATCAAAAAAATTAAAAATTCGCTGCCAATGCAAATTTTCTTGCACAGTTAAAAATTTATGCCTCATTTCCAGTTTTAATGTATTTAACTTCAGTTTATGTCCATTGGCTTCAGTACATGTGGTTCTCCCTCTATTAAATTAAGCAGTACTTTAGCACCCCTGGTTTTTAATATGCAGATATTATTCAACTCGGTAAAGGCCCTCCTCATCTTGATTTTTAATTCAGGTAAACAGGTAAACTCTGCTGAGCTTCTCCAAATACTGTACTCCAGTCTTTTTTTATGGTTGATTTCTTTGCCTTCTCCAGATCTTTAATACCATTTTTAAAATTGGGAAAAACAAACTCTATGTTGAATTCTCCTCTGAACTTTAGCAACACTACACAGAGAGTTCCACGAGGAGTTTCACTGCTCTCCATCACTGGTTTCCTTCTTGTGCCTTTCTGCACCAGTGAGTGCTTTTTGAAAGCTGCCAATCATCCAGATCTTACTCTGTAAGAGCTGCAAAAGATCTGTAAATAAATCACTGCAAAGTGCTTTATTTATGTCATATAGCGGTAACTGGCTAATGAGAATGTAATGGGTAAATCCTCTCATATGAAAATATATTGCATCTGTACAGGTCCTTTAGAAGCCAAACTTGTAAGACATTCAAATAGCAAAATCAGATTTATTTGGCAAGACCTCCTTTCCGTGAAGTTATAATGCTTCATGTATTACTTATTAGTTGAGTCTTTTATCAGCATTTCTGGTACGTTGAATAAATCAATGACAGGGTAGGATCTTTGCGCCTATTTAAGTAAGTTGTTTTACATCTCATTTTGACTATCAGTGCAACAAAGCACATTCCAGCCCTGGGTATTCCAAGATGTATTAAAAATTACCTTCTCCGGACTACATAACTTGTAATTACTTGAAGAATCCCAGCCGCATGCTCCCTAGGCCTGCTGATCTAAAAATAGGATTTCTAGTAGATACTTTTGAACACTTTTTCTCATTATTACTGGAAAGTACTTCACTGTTTGCTGATAGAAACGACAAGGGGAAAGTACTATTAGTCAAATACAAAACAGAAATACTGAAGCTTCTTCCCATATTGATTTTACCCTGACTGACAAGAAGCAGTATGCACCCTCTTGGGCTTTGTTTTGTTTCTGATATTTGTGTTAATTTCAAATTCTCATTTTTGGTGGTTTTAGCCCTGCGAGATTATTTTTTTCTCACAAGATTTTAGCTTCTCTCATGATGTGGTGCACTTGAAAAATTTTCATTTATGATTTACATCAGCTGTTCAGCTTTTATGGTTTTTTTCCATTTCTTATGGAGTATTTTTTACATTTTTAATGCTGTCTTCATTTCACCGTTTAGAACTGGATTCATATTACCTAACTTTGGTTATCTGAAATTTTGGTAACTCAGCTCCCTCTTCCTATGTTGGAAGGACACAGTTGTTCTCTGGAGGTCCATCCATTTTTCGCACAGCAAGTCATGCTGTGATAGCTGGCCTTAGAGCAGAGAAAGGCCCTTGACTATTTTGGTTGCTAGTGCCCCAGGGTTGCTCCAAGCCCCATCCAACCTGGCCTTGAACACAGCCAGGGATGGGGCAGCCACAGCTTCTCTGGGCAACCTGTGCCAGGGCCTCACCACCCTCACAGGGAAGAACTTCTGCCTCAGAGCTCATCTCAATCTCCCCTCTGTCAGGTTAAAGCCATTCCCCCTTGTCCTGTCCCTACAGGCCCTTGTCAAAAGCCCCTCTCCAGCTTTCTTGTCAGCCCCTTTAGGCACTGGAAGCTGCTCTAAGGTCTCCCCAGAGCCTTCTCTTCTTCAGGCTGAACAAGCCCAGCTCTCTCAGCCTGTCTCCATAGCAGAGGTGCTCCAGCCCTTGGAAAATCTTTGTGGCTTCTCTGGACTCGCTCCAACAGCTCCATGTCCATCTTGTGGTGTTGTCCCAGAGCTGGATGCAGGGGGGTCTCACCAGAGCAGAGCAGAGGGGGAGAATCCCCTCCCTTGACCTGCTGGTCACACTGCTGGTGATGCAGCCCAGGACATGGTTGGTTTCTGGGCTCAAGCACACACTGCTGGGTCACATTGAGTTTCTCATCAACCCCCCCAAGTCCTTCTCTTCAGGGCTGCTGTCAATCCAGTCTCCACCTAACCTGTATTTTGTAAGTTCTGGTTGTTCACCATTAACTGCTGTCATTGGTATCTTCTGTTGTGTCTTCCTGTGCACTTATGAGACCCCGGCTGTATCTATCTGTGTGAGATCATTAATGCCAGACAGCGTTCCTTGGAGAGGCCCTCACCTACCTGCTCTGTTGCTGGTGTGGTCGCTGACATGCCCTTAGATCAGAGATACCAACGCTTTCCCAAACCTTCTGCAACCACCACCCAGGGGTGGTGACATGCCCGGAGCCGTTCCTGGGGGTCAGTTTGGATAAGGCCACCTTGGTTGGGTGATGAGGTGTTTTAACAGCGCAGGCGTGTTTTAGGTTTTAGTTTAATACTATAGCCTCTGAATCTGCAGGGCTGGTGCAGTGGCTGCTGAAGGGCTGCCCGTTGACTGCCAACCTTGTGTCCTCTAGCCACTCCAGCCAGCCTTTGGTTAAGCGGATAGCCCTTTGCATGCAAGAGGCATTCTGTCCATCTGGGAAGAACAGTACCTGTCAGTACTGTCATCAGCAATTTTCTCCCAATATTTTTTATCTCCTTTTCCTCATCCTGGCTGTTGGCTTAGCTTTCCCTTTTTTCCTGAAGTCTTCTGTAATCACCTAGTGCCATTAGCTGGCAGTCTTCTAATGAGTAGTCTGCAGTGGTGAGTGTCTGCCTTCTTGCAGGGCTTTTGCTTTGAGCTACATAGATATTCAGCAGGCATATCCCTTTTCACTTTTTCCATTTCCTCAATGGTAATTTCCTCACTAGCTGATTTGATGATTTATCTAATAACTCCTTAGTTCGTCTAGCAAAGGTTCATGCCTCTTGAGGTATTTTTTTCCACATCTATAGTTAATGCTAGAGCCTCATTTTTCAAACTAACAACTTTTTTGTAGAATGGAGATCATTTAAGATCTTTTTGCTGACCTAGCTCACCATCTGGTCCTGCTAGTCCCAGTGCTGATAGGAGGAACAACTGGAAACATGTGGGAGTGTGAGGAGGACAGCACTGGCCTTCAATGTTGATGTTGATCCATGCTTGAGTGAAGCCATACGACACATCTGCTACAGCAGAGTCTAAATACACACCTGAGAGAACTCCAGGTCTTGGGGAAAAAAAGAAAAAAAACAAAAGCATCTGCTCAGAAATGTGGAATTCTCTGCAGTCGATCCCAGATACCTTTATATCCCACAGTGCACAGTTGGGAAAACATCTTTTAGTACAGTGGTGAGAAGAAGCTGCTCTAAATTAAGGGGCAGGTTTTGGTTATCCTGCTCAGATGGGAAATAAATGAGGAAAGGTGGATAAGTCAGTTCATGGAGGCTAAGGCCAGAAGGAGCTTTTATTCTGTGAAATTTTTCATTCCATAACCTGAATTTCTGAGGAGACGTGCTTACCAGTGATCCTGCTGCCCCTGCACTGACAGTCTGTGCAAAGCCACTGTCAGAGGGAACAATTCTTGTTACCCTGAAAAAGCTGCAACTGCTATTTCTGCATAGACGAGAGTCATCAAAATCATGCTGCCAGCCTTTCTTTTAATGCACAGTGCTGCTGCCCGCACCACAACAGCCATGCTTCTCCATACAACCAAGACTGCAAGACATGAGCCCTAAGGGCTTGTAATGGTGGTTATATCTATGAAGAGAAAATCTAGGAAAACTTCTGAATTGTGAAAGAAACTCTTGACTATGTGATATTTTGCTCATTCCAAGGAGCATTCATATAGTTGAAATAGCTGTGACTCCACTGTCCCAGAAGGGTCACAGTGTATGTTGTTTCAAAAGTGGAGAAATTCATTCATATGTCACCTTTTTTCGTCTTTCAAATTAGTAGCGATCTATACTGACAAATGTTGCATTGCAATAATGGGATTGTTTTCTCTGCATCTTTTTCCTTGCATCTTTAGTGCTGAGGCTGCCCAGTTTCTTCCCTCCCATTCCAGACCTGGCTGCCTCCAGCTCGCTAATTCACCACTGTGAATCCCATCTGCAGAGGTTGTGGTATGCCCAGTGGTTAACAGGCGCTCTCTGACCAAAAAGGTGATATTGTGCCTCTCAGGCTAGGACAGTTTGGATCTCTGTGATGGCAGATTTGAGCACACAGGGAACCGAATGCCATGCAGCGGTTGTGCACTCCAGATGGTATTTCTAGGTGTTAGAGGGTGGTGGACTGATATTTTTGACCTTGAGAACAGCTAGAGAGGTAGTTCTGAGTACAGGGCAGGAAGAGAAGCCAGTAAAGGTCCTGCGTAAAAGAAATACATCTGTTAGATAGCCTGTCCTATATCCAAGATATCCATGCTGTCATATCCATCCTGTGTATTCCACTTTTGCCAACACTAAAGGCCATTTGAGATAAGAGTCTTCTTTTGAGCACGGAATAAATGACATCTTTGCTTTCCCACCACAGCTGTTGTGTCTAATGCCCTTGTTCCCTTTCATGTCTGCAGATGTTTCTACAACTTGCCATGTACTCTTTTTCCATTGGGTCTGTTGTGTATTTTGTGTGTATATGTTTCCTTTTCATATGGTAATTAATCTATCCTGTTTCTCTCTTCACCTTTTTCTTTTGCCAACATTTATAGGAAGAAGAGCAAAAGCAGGCAGTAAGTTGACTTCACTTTATAGGTGACCTAACTCTTTTTTTCTTTCTGCATGGAACCAATTTTATGTTAATTGGATTGTATGCAAATAATCTGTGGGAATGTGGGGTCTTTCTCACTTGTAAATTTGAAAGCAATCTTCATCAGTTTCCAGTAGAGCATGTTTTTGTATATGTCCTTAAAGTTACTTGTGTCTCCCTTTCAAATTAAGTTTATTGCCATGGGTACACAACGGGTGGCTGTATTCATTAGTTTTCTATAGAATTGTGCATGACCATCCAGGGTTGAAAATGTGGATTCTCAGCTGGCTTCATAATTTATCTTGTTGGAGATTCTTTGGAGTATTTTACACGCTAAAAAAAAGCTTTCTTGTCTCTTCAGGAATCCTTTAATTTGCCTCCTTGCCACATACAAGTCCATGCATGAAAACTAATTAATGACTGAATAATATTTTGGGCATGGATCCATACCATTCAATCATGATATAGTCTCCTTGAATTAGTCCCAGTATGCTCATTGTAAACAGGACAAGTAAACTAATAAGAGACAAGAATGCATTTGCTTTGTTGCACATTTTCATTTTCTCTGCCCGCCTGTTACAATCCGAATCCTGTGTCGATTTTGGAATCCACTCCAGAGGGAGCCCTTTTGCTTTTCTTGAAAATAGACAGATGTTCAGTATCTTCTCTCCAGCAGAACAAATTTTCAGCATTTTCAAACGTGGTTTTCTTTATACACATAGATTTAATGGAGATTAATCCCATGTTTCTCATTGTTGGGGGTTTTATAAATGTTGTGTATCAGATACTCAAATTAGATATTGGATATATGAATTGGAAATTCTAATGACTTATTTTTTGTAAGGAGCTGTATATTTTTGGGTAGCTTCTATTGCTGAAATACTTCAGGTCTATGTGTGCTGAAATTGGCTTTTGGTGACTCCCAGATGGCCTTTTATTAAAGTCCTGCCATCAGTTTAATAAGAAGATGGTGGTGTGTATCTTCTCTTGGAGCGCAGCTCATCTTTAGTTTATCCTGCCAGTGAAGTTTGCTGAGGAACCTTGCAGAAACTCTTTGGCTTAATGAAGGGACCAGATTGCAGCACGTGGCAGCAATCTTCAAGGAATTTCCTGGAGGAAGGAAAGCAACCAAGGCACAACCATCCATGTCTTCCAAATTCTAAGTGTGCAAGTGGGATGCTGTATCATATGTCATTCTTTTACCCAGCGTCATTGCTAGGAGTAACCATCTGCATGGAAATGCAACATTATATTAGCTTGTTTTTCCTGTGCTGTTCATCTAGATTATGTAAATAGAAAAAGGGTAAATACAAGATCAAAGACAAAATTCACCCAGTTTTACCTCCTTCTTTCCCTGGAACATTATGTTCATAGGAGGATAAGAGAGCAAAGACTGCTCAAATAATGTCAACATAGTGACATTCTGTCCAGTCCTATTCTGTTGGAATCAATGACAAATAAGCCAAAAAGATTTGAAACTCAAGAATGCAAGTTTTGACCAACCAAAGAACACACTGTTGATCTGTAGGAATTGAAACTTTACATCCTTACATTTGTATGGACTGAAGTAGCTCGAAGTGGACTTGGAACATGGACTTGAAGTAGCTTGGAATGCCCTACTCCAAATTATAAAGGTGCAGCCTGAAAAAGCTGGAAATCCCAGGATTCCAGCTCCGCTTGGCTGAGAAACACAGAGAAATCACGGAATACCTGAGGTGAAAAGGCAGCTCTAGAGATCATCTAGTCCATCCCCTATGCTCAGAGCAGAGTCAGCTAGAGCAGGCTGCTCAGGAATTTGTTCCATCATGGTTTGAGTATCTCCAAAGATGGAGATTCCACAGGGCAGCTGTTCTGTCTAGTATGTCAGTGCCCTCACCGTAAGACAGTTTTTTCTTTATTTCACACAGAATTTCCTATATTTTCATCTATGTCTGTATTTCTGTTCCATTGCCTCTGGTCCTTTCAGTGGATATCATGAGAAGGATCTAGCTCTGTTTTCTTTGCTTTCTTCCATTAGGGATTTGCATGTGTTCATAAGATCCCTCTGAGCTTTCTCTTCTTGCAGCCGAACAGTCCAGCTCCTTCAGCCTCACCTCATATGGCAGATACACTGGTTTCTTAATCATCTTTTTTGGCTCTTCCTTGGACGTGCTGAAGTCTTTCTCCAAATCTTTCTTGCACTGGGTTGTCCAGAACTGGATGCAAGACTCTGGATGCAGCATCACCAGTGCTGAGTTTTGGAGGAAAATCACATCCCTAGGCCTGCCACCAGTGCTCTTCTCTATGCAGCCCACGATGCTGTTGGCTTTCTTTGATGAAAGGGTGCATTGCTGTCTCATGTTCAGCTTCTCTGCAGGACCCCAACATCTTTTTCTGCCAACCTGTTTTCCAGCCTGTCAGCCATCAGAGTGCAGTTGATATACAGTTATTCCTTCCAGAAACTTGACTTTACACGCCTTGTTGAACTTGATGAGGTCTCTATCTGCCCATTTCTCCAGTGTTTCAAGGCTCCTCTGAATGGCAGCACAACCATCTGGTGTATCATCGACTCCTCCCAGTTTTGCATTGTCTGCAAACTTGTTGAGGGTGCATGCTGTCCTCTCATCTGGGCCTTTCTTGAAGAAATTAAATGGTACTGGCTGTAGTATCAAACCTTGAGGCCCACCACTGGTAACTGGCCTCCATCCAGGCTTGGCGTGGCTGATAACAAGCCTGCACATCACACATTGTAGTGGTGTCTGCACTGTTCTGGAAGGTAATGTCATATCTCTGTCTTGAAGACCAGAAGAACTTATTGGACCATACGCTGGCTTCAAAATGTCTTCAGGACCTCATGATCATCCATCTACTTGAATGACAGAAATACATGAATAAGGGGCTGAAGATCTGTGACAGCATGGGTTGAAGAAACACAGCCAGCGGAAGAACTTTAAAATTATTACCAAACATCCCAGTGTCCTTTAGAACCTCTACCAGTTTTGGTGAGTCTAGAGTCACATCTTCCCTCCCCATGTGTTTAAAACCCTGCAGTAGCTAGGAAAAGGTACCAATCTTCTATGTGCTCAGCCAGCCCTATCCTTGTGTCCACAGACATGTGTCCTGGGAAAAGAAACTAGAGGGGAAGGGCCTAGTCTGGTTAGTACCTCACAAAGGTTTACAGCCTAGTCCAGAAACAGCAGGACCATGTATGAGGGGAAACACGGCGCACCATCTAGATTCTGTGGAAGAGAAAGCCCAAGTGTCTTAGTGATCTGAAGTGAGGATCCTTTCAACCCTTGATGAGATGGATTGAGCATATGGTGGCAACATGAGTTTACATGAAGGGTTAAGGTAAATAGTAGACAGAATAATGATCACTGGTTCAGGACTGACAGCACATAAGAGCAGTAACATCAACATCCTTTTTAGCAATCTCTGACTTCCCTTCACTGCTAAGTCTGACAATCCCCTTCTGCCTTCTTCATATTGCTAGTGAGATTTACAAAGATTGGTGGAAGAGGGTCTGCTTTCTTGACCATGGTCATGCAAAAAAGTCTTCCTGAACAAAAAGCCATCTTGTTCATTCTGCATTTATGTGAAACGGCATACACTGTATTCCAGGGGCTGAAGGTGTTCAGGTTGTCGGGGCCATTTTGAATGGCTTGCCTATCATCGTGAGCTGGCATTTCACCTCATGCAGCAAGACACTAAACCTGGTTTGTTCATGTATCTGCAGCCAGAGTGATAGTGTGTCTAAGCATTGAGTGGAGATCTTTGCTGCTCCTGGGAGGCTAATAAGAAGTTACTTGGCTGCTGAGGTTACAACCAAGTGCCTACAGAAAACTGTGATAACTGATTTTAATCTCCAGCAACAAAGTGAGCAGAGTGGGATCTGAGAGACCAGACTCCAGTCACAAACATGTTCTCAGAAGGCCCAGAAGCTCTGTGTCTCTTGGCCAGTCTTGGTCAGAAAATCATGGCAAGCTATAAGGAGTTTGTGTCAGGAGAAAGCCACTATTTCTAATCCTGGTATTTAAAGAAAGCCCAATAACTTCTGTGTTCCATGTTCAGAGTTGATCTCCTATCAAGATTTTGAAAGTTTCTGTCTTTCCCATGCTGGACTGCCCCTTGGAATCAGTGTCCCCAGTCCTGGTCACACCCTTGAGGAGCAGTGCATTGTGTACAGATATTATTCCAGTAATGGAGTATGAAGCCACATGGTATTCATAGTTCACCACACTATTCTCTACTACTGCTAAGACTGTTGTGTCCCAGCTAATAAAGATCTTTGCCAGCGTAGATTTTAATTTACAACAGGATCGTTTTCATGTCACAGCTGGTGAGAGGCTTGAATAATCTGCTAAGTATTAAAACCTCTTTGTTTTATAGTCCAATGAACAGCCATTGGAGCTGTGCTGTTCAATATTGAGAAAAACGTTAAAGGAATTCAGAAAGATATACATCACATGTATGGTGTCTTTGGCGTTTAGAACAATTCATACAACAAATCCAGAGGAGCGTCAAGCACTCGTACGCGCACAAGAGAACTTCTCTAATGCCGAACAGGCACAGGAATGACTTCACAGCAGAGGAGCTCACATGGGAGTGTTTAAACACTGGAATGGAAATCTTTTCCTTTCAGAAGATGGTGGGAACCATATGACACAGCAGAGCAGATCAGGCTCATGAATTTTGAGGTTATGTTACCAGTCAGAAAAAGTGGACACTCTCTCACCCAACAGTCCTCATGAAGTCATGGAAATCATGGGAGGGTTGTTCCTTAACCCCATGGAGAGGAGTCAGGAGTTCTCACTTTCCTCCCATCATTCAGATTCAGAGTATAGAAATGATAGATACCTTTCTGTCAGCTTGAGAAGTGCAAGGGCAGCAGTGCACATTCCTTTAATGAGGTGAACCACCTTAACCAACAGCTTTAGCAAAGCTGAGCCTAGGGAAGAAGCTAGGGTGATACCTATGCCCTTTCCCAAGAGATGTAGAAACCTA